CTTGGCATTACCCTTTAGTTGATAGAGATCCAGTTTAAGCCTTGGTTGATCACATCCTTCGTAATAAACAAGCGGCACTCCTTCAGAGGGTCTTCCCCCTTTGGGGTGAACGCACAGACCACTTCTTATGTGCATGAGGGACATCCCAGGTGTCCTGAAGAAGCATGCAAACAGGAAATCAATACAAGAATGCTGTATCAGCAATTAACGTAGGGTATGTTCGCTGTACCACCTTGTGTAAACGATAATGGGTCTAGTATCGGCCCCCTTTGGTGTGAACACACTTCTCGTGATATACGCATAACGGATATCCCGGGTGTCCTGATAAAGCATGCAAACTGGAATTAAGCACAAGCATGCTGTATCAGTGACTAACAAACCCTTATGTTCACTGAACCACCCCAGGCAAAAAAAAAACATAATCAGAGGTGGCAGCATACCATATTTTTCCTTCCTTTTCTTTTCTAAACAAAACACCTCGTGAGTGGCCATAAGATGCTTCAGATAGGAGAGCAAATTGTTTTATTTCAGCTGAACTACTAGTGCTCTCTAACCTTTCAAATCTGGCATCTTCTGGATCACAGTTGCCAGTTGAACTCACGATTACAAGTTCGGCGCCAAAGTCGACACGACCTCCTGGGAAAAGGTAAATATTTAGTAGGGAAACCTTCTATGAAGAATAAAAAACAAACTGAAAAGAAAACACAGCTCTCTTTCACCCAAGTCATTCACCCAACACTGCAAAGAAGCAGTAATATTTAACCAGTTTGGAAATTAGGGGGATGCCATCGTTCGATTGGGTAAAAGACAGTTATGTACGAATCATCTTTGTAGTGCCTCAAATAATTATCTGTGAATTCAGGTCAATGTACTTAAAGTCCTCAGAGTCAGCCTCATTTTTTGAGAAATTAGAGGACACACTTCGTTGGGGAACAATTCACTCGCTGAGACAATGTACTTGAACTATCAAATCCAGAGAACAAACCTCTTGGACAAACATATTTTTTGCTACATTTGTGCATCAGAATACCATCATCGTAAATGAACTTCTGATATTCTTTCGAGCATTCAGCAGAGGATTTGTAAACCAGCTTAGTTCCGTCGGGTATCTGGCAGCTTGATCGCTGAGGCTGGACACAAAATTTGTCCACCGCCCGGATAGGACTTTCTGTTGGGCGGAAGGAAAGCAAAAGGAGTGATTTAGATGTATCTTCTTTCTTACAATTGATTGATATATCAAGACAAGCATCGGGAATGATTACATTAACACACCTGACAGAAGGATATCGTCAATTAAGAAGAATTATAAGTTGTTAATATAATCAGTCTGCCGTAATCAAATCAAGCCTAACACAGAGGGCGAGCCTTACTTCTTTAAGAAAAAAAGGTTTCGTATACTTTGTCTTCCACCCTCGTAGTTTTTGAATAAACAGATAAAAAATTCAAGCGGAAGTTGGTCCAGTTTTGCTAAAGGAAGGTTCTGCAACAGACTGAAAATTATTCATAATATCCGTTAATGGGGGCTAAAGCTGATCTGTTGAAATTACAAGAAGCTGATCGTTAAATCATCAGACACTGATACGAACAAAACTCGCCGAAGTTGCCATGCTTGTCACGAATAGAATTGGTGCAAAACGACCCCAATGTGCGGTGATAAATTAGTTATTTACACGTAGTAAGGAAAATGGCGCACTGTAACACAGGATACGGTTTGTTACCTGGACAGTAATTACACTCCTTGGTTTCCTTCTGCAGAATTTTCAGGTCACACTGTTTGCCGCCACACTTGGGTTTGGGATTGTCACACTTTTTTCGTCTGGTCATTCTACCCGGCTGGCAGAGCTTGTCACAACGACTCCACTCACCCCACTCTGATACGCCACCATCAACTGTACAAAGAAAAGGGATTTTCACATGTGTTCTGCATTTAAAAAAAAATAATACACCATACCAATTAACGCGTCTATTACGTTCCACTGTTATTCCTTCGTTCTCAGTAATAAAGGTCTTTGCTTTTCTCCACAAAGCGATTCCATCACAATCGATCTTTGGGTTTGTTTGCTGTGTTTTGGGTTTCTTTTTTTATAGTTTTTCTCATTGGCAATAACTTCTTTCTGCAATTTTAACATTTTTTAAGCTTTCGTTTATCGTCTCACTTACCAGGTTTCCTACTCTGGTCGCAATCATCTTCATTTATCCAATACCATATAACCCCTGGATCAAACATCTCCGGATATATCCAGTTAGCTGGCTTTCCCTCTCTCCTGTCTGTGATGATAGTTCCACGAGGATACCAGTCACCCACAGTCGCAGTGGTCAGTAACCCAAATGTTCCAGCCATCCAGGGCATGCGCTTCTGAACGCCATCGTCGCTGTATTCCCATTGGTTGAACTTTTTCACCAGGTTGACATTGGTTTGAGTGTTATCGGTTTTCAGGAATCTGTGAGTTAAATAAACATTTTTATGAGGCGCTACTTAGAAGATTCTGCCGCGGATTCGAATGGTTAAAGGATAAAAGCAGAAAAAAGCTTGTGATCATCTCAGTCCTTCCGTGCACTGATTCGAAAATCTATAAGTGTCCTATTTGAAAATGTGGGACGGAGAATTCTTCGGCCATAAATACAGTAGGAGAGGTACACAACTGATTGTGACTAGTGCGTTGATATAAAACTCGAAATCATCTTACGTGTACTCTATAGGCGCTTCCCAAATTCCACCCCAGGTTCCGAGTGAATTAGCTTCCAGCCGATACTTGAAAGACTTGGCTGCACTGATATCTTTTATATTATCCGCCAATCCTAAAATAGAATAGTCGTTGCCTAGCGACGGTTTCTCCACATTTCGAAACGTCACATCTTTAGCATTCCAATTATTCGAGGCACTGGTGACTAGTAGAGTATAAGCCCCAAGGTCTGATGTCATGTCACAAAAGACAGGCAAGTAATCGACGTCATCTTTTTTAATCATGTAAACTCCGTCGTCGTATGTGATACCAAGCTGCGTGCCGTAAACCTTGACTTGGTTGCACGAGCGTCTATGTAACAAGAGAACATTGAAAAACAGTTTAAGATGTCTCATACATACGTTTGCTTTCTAAAAATTGATTGGCATCAAATTTTAAAGGAAATAGCAGTTGTTTTGAACTCCCCGCCTTCTTTTTTATCTTATTTTACCAATGGACTCATCCATCTGGATAAATGCTTGCCAGGCATCCTGAACGATTCGGAAGTGATGTTAAAATAAAGAAATCTGTTTACATCGGAACACAAACACGTACGAAGGATGAAAATATTGAGCCACAGCTTTCCAGATTCACTCTACCGCCTTGAAGCTAACTTTGAGAAAAAAATTGTCCATTCCTTATAATCCTAAGCACTAAGAAGCGAAAATCATACACACATCTACAAAATCATTTTTATTGTTTGCCGGTACAAGCAAAGCTCCATCAAGGGGGAGATAAGACCGAGGCCATTTCTCCCCTGATGCTACCTGCGGGTGGAATAGTGTGGGTAAATGACATTAGGGAGTTCTCAGGTTGAAAGCGAACTACAAGTGATATTACAAAATAAGAAAAGAGCGCACTCTGGGCAGAGTTAATGAGTAACAAACGAATGTTTCGTACTGTACGGCCATTGGACAATATCCAATACCTCACATTTATATCAAATGCTAGCTAGGCTAAAATCTACATCATATCGTACCTGGTTCCCTCTCGTATCCATACCCGTATGACCTTCGGTTTGGGTTTCTCGCTGTTTATGTAGATGGCATCATTCGCAGAGGTCACTATTACGCCCGAGTTATCTCTCACTGAGCCAGTCGTATATAAGTATTTTCCACCGGCCTCGAGACGAGGAACGCGCTTGTTCAAATTTTCTGTCTCATCCCACATTCCAAACTTCTTTAGCAGTCGTATGTTTGTTTGAGTATCAGAGGATGACGTCATAGAGTAGCCTCTTACAGTCTCCCAAATTCCTCCAAACATGTCGTCACCATCGGCCTCGAGTCGGTACTAAACAAATACAATAAACTTATTCATATCAAAGCGAAATATATAACATTCAGTTCTTCTTCATTTAAGGAACGGGTAGGGGAAGTTTATCTCATAAATTTTTATCATCACAGATCATCAACATGCCCATTTGATTGCATCCTTAAAATTTGCCTAGAAAATTTTCCAATTAAAGCCAAATGAAAATTGTCTGATAAACTTTCTTGAATATAATTTTACAGCACAGTACACTTTTATTTCAGTGGCACCATACTTACGCGTTAGCAAAGAAAATTTCTTCCGAAGTTGAATATCGTCAGATACAGTGAAAGGGTAATTGTTATAGGAATGAGTACCTATTCTTAATGCAAAAAACTAAGCACCTGAAATTTTTCCTTTCCAAGAATATTATCAGCTTGCCCAAGAATCGAAAAATCTGTTTTAAGCGATAGATTTTGCCTATTCCTTTCCAAAACGTTCTTTGTATTCCATCCTTGACGAGAAGCGCTGGTAAGGAGTAAGGTCCAGCCTCCGCCATTACGTGTCATGTCGCAATATGTTGAGACTGGTTTGTCCACTGGCTGAATATTGTAGAAACCATCTAAAGGAAGAAATGATTAATCGTTTTCTACCATATCAATCATTTTACTACGTAAGCTTTTATACCGCTTGAAGAACGCTTTTAATCTAAACAGAAATTAAGCCCACGTTTCGTCTCTTTTTGAATCAAAAACCTTGAGTTTCTTTTTTATTATTATTATTTCTTTGGATGAGTTACGTCTGTTAAGGTACATGGTCTGGGCTATATACTAGACCTGAAGCTCCCTCCTTCCCAATGCTACGAGTCATGACCTCCATGCAGGATCTCGGAGGACCGTACTCTCCTTCTCTCATCCAGTACCAGATGTAGGTCGGACATTGTTCTTTGTCTTTGCCATATATCCATGGAGCTGGGTGATATTTCTTCATAGAGGCTGTAAACAAGCGTCGTGATATATCAAAAATCAATTTTTTGGTGGGGGACAGTGGGAAATTATAATTTTTCATCGTAATAATTTTACTAGTTGATGACAATCATGATAGCAGGCACAAGCCTGGAATACAATTCCAGCTTAGTTCCACACGTATCACATGCTTTTAAATTTTTTTAAAATTTTTAATTGGGAGGTCACACTTCTGTCTGGGAATAGCCTACTTCATCAGCACAACATTCTAATCTGAGTTTTCGACACCCTCCTTTTAGGTGGAATTCAATATAAGATGCTTTTTGATGAGTTAAGGAATATGCATAAGACGTGTCACTGAGAGACCTTTCCATGACCCAAAGCTTGGAAAAGTTTCATCTTAAATGATGAACAGTATTTGAACGTCGTGCACCATTGACAGATGGGGCTAGTCTCCATATTTAAGGTAACTCCTTAATATTATTAACCTGTAATAGAACCTATTAACCTTTAGTAGAAACTATTAACCTGTAATAGAACCAAATTCATTTCTCTTTGGTTCACCAGCAGTAGTTAGCCTCTCGCCGTACAGCCAAGGCATCCTTTTCTTCAAACCGTACCACGAATAACCCCACTCGTCAAACTTCTTAGTTAACCGGACTCCAGTCTGACTGTTATCAATTTTGACAAAACTGTAGCTACGTGGTGCCTTCCAAATTCCACCCCATCTTCCTGAAAATTTAATGTAATAAAAGAGATCAAGAGGACTACTCAAACTGACGACGCATTTTCCCCAGTATGGAAATGACAGGAATAAGGTTTGTCTGGTTATGTTAGCAATTTTTGGAAAGCAAAATGTCATCTCAAAAATCGCCAAATTCATTTAGCTTTGGCATACCGTTAGCTTTTATCAGTCCACAAATTGCCTGGTCGTTATCGATGAACATCGCGATTCATTCTTTCACAATTGACGGTATGGAACCTTTGTACGCGCGTTTTTTTTTCTCCTGTTCAACGGAGGAGGAACAAGACACTGGTTGAAATATGCCTCGCTTGAGGTGTCAATCTCTTTAGTCACCTGAACGTAACCATAAACAGAGCATCGCACGTACCTGGACTATCAGCTTCTAAGCGATATTCAAAGGTGGAACCCTTTACGTTTCCACTATTTTTGATGTCATCTGCCTTAAACAGGATAGAGTAATCGTCTTTAAGTTTTGGATCCATTTCATTATTTTGTAAGACATTCTGCCTGGTCCACTTGTTGGTGTAGCTGGTAATCAATAGCGTCCATCCACCACCATCACGCGTCATATCACACATGGTTTTGACAATACCTTTCCCATCTGGATTTATTTCATAAACGCCATCAGCGTAGGGCTTGTTAAGTCTTTTACCGATGGTTTGCAAATGGCGGCAGGAATGAGCCTCTAAATCACATAAAAAAATGATTTAGGATCAGACTTTAAGGAGTATTGAACATTGGACTGATGCGTCTTAGAAGATAAGGGTATGCATTGTCTCAGTGCATAGTGCACGGCCCATGTTCTCCGTTACAACTCGCCAAACATTGTCATATGGAGTTATATATCCTCAAGAACTAAAGTTTTATTTGCAATGTAAACCTGGCCTATTTGTTTACTCCTAAAACTTGCTTCTAGCACTTAATTAAATTTTACAACTGTTTATCTAACATCTCACTCACGATTTTTTGTTGATAAAAAGCAAAGTACATAAGGGAGCAAACCACGCGGTGAAGGCAATGAGGACGTGGCAAAATAAAAGATATTTTCAGTAGAACAATAGCTCATTTTAGAACCTCATTTTTTTCTTAGCCATCTTCTGCAAAACGACAACGTGCGTGGTCTGAGAACAGAAACTCAGACTGAAAATTACTTATGTTTTAATTTCGATCTTAACACTTCTCACATGCATTATGCTGAAGTTGAGAGGGGCGCTCTTAGAGACTTGAAATACATCCATTCGCTGGATGTATTTAATTCTAACCAAATTAAAAAATTGATTTTTAATCAACGTCTTTCTCGGTATTGTCGTACTGACTGATTAAGGTCTCTATTGTGTGTTGTAAGCGAGGCGAGCGATATCACTTCTCACATGCATTATGCTGAAGTTGAGAGGGGCGCTCTCAGAGACTTAAAATACATCCGTCCTCTGGATGTATTTAATTCTAACCAAATTAAAAATTTGACTGATTAAGGTCTCTATTGTGTGTTGTAAGCGAGGCGAGCGATATAATGAAACTATCCCCAAAACGTCCTCGCTCTTTACTTTTACTTCAAGAGGTTGCACTGATTTTTTTCGCTTCCGATAACATTATTGACATAGTCATGCAAGAAATGTCGTGTTAAAGCGAACACTATTTTACAGTTAATAAAGACATATTTCATAATAAGACGGGTTTGAGATACGTTTTCGTTTTCTAATTGTTGGAAGCAAATTGGCAACACCTTCAACATCAAATGAAGTTGGGACAATTAGTGAAGCCTCAAAATTTCGACCAAGTTATCTTGTGACAAATCCATTAACGGAAAAAAAAAGCACCATTGCTGTCACAAAAGTGCTTCTAGGCAGCGAATGAAAAAAAAGCAATTACTTTTTATATTATATAAAATTGAATAGAGTCTCTATTTTTTTATTGCCCTAAAAGAAACGCGTGGAATGATTGCACAGGTAAAAAGATTTAATTTACTGTCAAGGCGGAAAACACAATCGGCCCAGCAATAAATCAGTATAACGTGGGAAAGTGAAGAATAGCTATTTTGATTTGCACTTCCGAGAGGTATTTTTTTAATATTTCAAATAAGCAGTTTCGCGCAAATAAAACAAAACTCACCAATGAAGTCCTCCGCCAAAGTCTCGTAAGAATAAACGATATAAAGGAGATCACATCGCTTAACCAAGGATCGTCAAAGAATTGTTGAGAAGTTTGTACTCCAAATGCAGTTGTTGACTTGCTTCTCTTTTATATTTATGTTCAGGCCACGCTGAAGTCTTCTTAGTCAAATATTGCTTTATAATTTTAAAGAGTTTTTCCACGCCACTTCAAAATAAATATTTCTTCGTGACACATATCGTTTGTTGACAATTGATCGTCAAATATGACCTGAACCTTATTCATTTCAAAAGTGAAATGATGGACAGTTTTATACTGGTCGAGATTCTCATAGAAAATGCATAAAAAATATTTACGTTATGAGATTCTCAAATCATGACGAAAACGTTATACTTGCGATACTTGACTCTGACAACTCGAAACGAAATAATTTCACTATTGAAAATCAGTCCGGTTAGCTTAAAAACAATTCATGAAAGTGAAAAAAACCACAACAAGCCTGACGAAACTGCTCTGAAAATTTGAATATAAGGAGAAGGATTTCTCACCATTGGTTATTGTATGGTATGAAAAATTGCTACTTGAAATTCTTTATTGCTATTGGCTTTCTTTTTACCCTGGACACTCCCACAGAAGGTATAGTGTGAAAATAAATTCTGTGGCAATAGATACGTCTTTCTGATGGTTTTTATTCATGTAGGGTTTGCAACTACCTGAGAATTAGGCTTTTAGCGAGAATATGCAATAATAATGAAATTCATGTAACATCACTTTCGATGCTGAGGTGTCGCTGTTATTTCTATTATTTAGATCGACTCAGAGAAAGGTACGAGCAGCTGATGATGGAACAAAGTGGGCGGCAAACAAGAAAAACGTCATTAACTAGAACCCAGCTGGAAACTGTGAGAAAGTGAAAAAAAACACAATTGATCGGCTAATGACGTCGAATAGCAGACGTGAAAGTTGAGTATTTACCGCCGACCGATTGTCGAAGGGTTCATTTTCACAGTGATCAGATATTTTTGCGTCTATCACTGATACTCACAAAGAGATATTAGTAAGTTGAACGTTCAAATTCAAGTTTATTGACCGTTTTATCACGCAAATAATTTTCCAGGTTCGATAGTCCCCTACATAATTACATGCACCGTGCTACTTTCGCCTTTGTTTCAGAATAAGCAGTCAAAGTTCCAACTTGTTCGTTTCCTTAGCTTGGTCGTTTCCTTAAAGTCTCCAGTTACGTTTTACGCACGAGCTTTTCAAACGTTTCTCTGCAGGTAAAGTGCATGAATTTACCCAAGAATTCTGTCTTCCAGCTCATTGCTTAAACCTTCATGGATTCAAATAACACACAGAGATGTTACTTCCTAGCAACTTTGGAACCGTCGCGCGTAGGAAGCTTCTTTGCCTCTGACATCGTTTGCTGCGTACTTAACTCTGTGTTTTCTGTAGTGGCGACCACCTGGAACATTGTAGTGATCCTAGTGATCTGGAAGACGCCGCTTCTCCATTCGCCTTCGAACATTCTCATTTGCTGCCTCGCTTGTTCCGATTTTATTATCGGTCTCATGGCTCAACCTATGCTCGTCACCTACAAGATCGCCGAACTTAAGAATAGCGCCAATACCGCCTGCATCGGTAGACTCATTCACTGGATTGCTGGATTTGTATGCGCGGGAGTCTCTGTTATGACAATTTGCGCCATATCGGTGGATAAAGTGCTTGCCCTGTACTTGCACCTTCGTTACAAAGAAAAAGTCACAGTTGCGCGCGTTTTTAAAGTTATTTTCGCTTTCTGGATTTTTTGCATCTCTACCGCTGTGTCCCTCTTCTTGGCGAACACGGATCGTTACTGGACTCTTGTTCCATTACCCGTGCTTGCGGTGACTTTGACCACAACTTTCGTTGCATACATCAAGGTGTTTAGAGTGCTCCGACGCCATCAGAGACAAATACAGTCACAGACTCGGTCTGCGTGGGAAGGAGTCAATATGAGTAAATATAAGAAGTCCGTTATTACCATGGTTTATTTGTTAGTGATGTTTCTCGTTTGTTATACTCCGTTCTTAACGGCAATGGCTGTTCGCCTTCTAGCTGGTTACAGTCCTGGTGTAAAAATGGCTTACGAGTGGGGAGCAACTATTGTGTATTTGAATTCGTCGTTAAATCCAGTAGTGTACTGGTTCAGAATGCAAGAAATACGCCTTGCAACGTACAACACCATCAGAAAAATACTTGGGAACGAAAGCAGATTTGAGAGTAGGGTTTTTCAATTCAGCAATGCGAACATTTTTAATGATAATGTTAGCAAGTTTCGATTTGACAATTCGCAAGCTTCTTGAAATTTATTGCCAATCAAACTGAGTTAATGTTTTATTTCATGCAAGCTGTCTTTGACGTTCAGTTGGACTTCGAATCCTTCGTGGGAAACAATATTTAATTTTTTCGAATAAAACGACATCAGTTTACAGCTGCTTGCCGCCAGCGATACTGGGCTTTGTATGAGGGTCTGTCAGTAACAGAAAGATTGGTTGTAGTACGAAATTTTAAAAAAATTTCGGGAAAATTTAACCTTATCACCACTTTAAAATCAATTTCTAATTATTTAAGTGATTTTTGTAACCATATCGTTTTAAAAGAAAAAAATACGTGAGATTTAGAGAAGGCTGTGTTCCATTATTTTTACTGAAGTTTACAGTTTCAGGTTTTTATGTCATATAATCGATATAAGCCGAAGGCAGCTGAAATTGATGTCCTCAGATCAGAAACAAATGGTGAAAGAAAAAAAAACATTCGAACTACGCACCAACTGAAAATGCTACCAAAGTGATACCGAACAAGAAGAGAATCTAACACCCTGAAAATTATTCAGCCCTCTTAGGTTAATTGATCAATAATTTAAAGCGTGAGTTATATCACAAGTCAACGTCAAAAAAATGTCAGCTGAAAAAACCTTTTAGCGCTTCAATGGCAACAAAGAGAAAATATTGTTGGGTAGAAAAACAACATAAGCCTTGCTAAATAAGAGTCTTATCACTCCAATCTTGAGATTTAGCGCAAAGAGGACAACTGTAGGAAAACTTCTAATTTCCTAGAAGTTATCATTGCTGGTCACTGTATTTTTATTAGAGTGAACTCTTATAATACGTTTATCATACGCTAATGAGTTTATCACCAAAGATATTATGAAGAACTACTGCGTAGGACATTTGTAAACATTCATTCAAACACGTCCAACCGCTGAATGTTCCCTGTGGAAAATTTCCATAACAACCGATGCTGTAAAGGATACTAGCTGTACGACATGTTTTTAACAGTCTGGTACCTTCCAGCGTGAATTGTTCGTGCGTGCCAAACAGGTCACTAGAATATTATTCGAATAATAAAACAATAAAAACAATAAAAATTTGCAACTGAAAGATTTTACTGAGCAGGAAAAAACAGCTCCTTCAAGGTCGGCCATATACCATGCTCCATCGCTTTACCGGGGAAATAACTCGCCGAAGTTTCATTCATTCACCCACAGGCAGTTGGTCTTCAAAGGCTCAGTGGGATGAATGGCAAAGTAATTTCGCGATATTTTAAAATTTAGAGAGAAAACTGGGGGTGCCAGACGATGCAAAAAGAGAGATAATAGTTAGAACTTCAATTTGAAGGTTTGAATTCTAAATTGACGAGAACTTTTCTATCATATTGTCTATTAAGTTCTCTCGACTTTAAGGTAGTGAACAGGCTTATAAAATTGAAACTCGAGGTTTTCCAACCGTTTACACGGCAGGGAGACAGTTTTCGCTGTACTTTTAAACATGTAACTCCTCGTCTGCAGCTGCTTTATGATTGATCAATGCAACAGAAAAATATCCTCTTCCATAATGATGGCTATTAATACTGACCGTACCAAGCAAGCAGGAAATGAAACGGAAGAACTGCACATACGTCTCATGAATAAGGGAAATTTGTCAATGATTGGAAGTTTCACAATGTTTTAGTACAACGGAAACTCCAATTATAGCTTTATTGTCATCATCTGAAGTTGATAATCGCCGACAACAGAACAAAATTTAACGATAAAAAGCAAAACAGAAAACTTTGCAGTAAAGTTCGCGCTCGTGTTAGATTTATCACCCGGATTCCGTATGCATAGCACAAACCTGTTATTATTCGATCAGGCGGATCAAATTAAAACAAGTTAGAGCAGATTAATGTTAAGTTTGATCCCGGCCTCGGTTTTGTTCGAGCTTCAATAGCTGAGAGCGATTTTCATCATTTTCAAAACTACACCGATGCCTACAGCTAGTCTTACGGAACCTTAAATTTTCTCGATCTGTTATCAGTATTCTTGTAAATTCATTTGTATGCTTGAGGGATATATATATGATATTGGCCTTGAGAATTTCTTTTCATGTCGCCGTTTTACCTTAAGATCCCATTACTATATTTCATCAATCTCCCTATTATATATATCCGTGAACATCTCAAGGGAAATCGATATTGGTAATGCAAAAGGAAAAATATGGAAATGTTTTGGGAAAATGTTGCTCAGGTTTTTTAAGCTGGCCATTTGCAGTGTGTTGAAGTGTCTCCCTTTTTTTTGCACCGCGCCCCTCCAGTTGAAATGTACGTTTACGGCCTTTTAATAATATTGTTTATGGATATTTTCCTGGTGAAAACTGTTTACAATAACAAGAGTGTTTTCACCATAAAATTATGGTGTATGTGCTTTAAGGATAATGTCTTTTTTCTTGTGTTTTATTTCGCCTTGTTTTTTTTTTTTATTTTTCATTCTTTATCTTTTTTTCCTATTCCTTTGTTCCCCGCGGACGTTCGCCTCCCCTCTTATCAGTTTTTGCATGTAAGCGTACGGCGGTAAACGAGAAAAGTCAACTGCTTCCCAAGAAAAGTGCACTTTGATGGAAATGTTTGTATTTGCATTGACCAAATATTGAAAGCTTGATGTCAGACTTAAAGGCTAATAACATGAGTGGGGGACTTCATTGTATCCAACAGGGTCTTTGAAGGAGTTATCATGACATCGTTCAGTAGGCCGCGTTTACCCTTGTGACAGTTCACTCCTGACAACAGGCGAATGTAAAAAATCAGGCTACTTTGGTCAAATTTTGAGCTGGAATTGAGAATTTAAATTCGTTTGGTAAATACTTACGAGGACAGGGTTCCTCGTTGCAAGCCTCTTCCAGAAGTCTTTCTCCTTCACAGATCTTTCCTCCATACAAAGGGGATGGACTGTCACAAAATCGATAACGTAAACGTGTTCCACCGTTACAGGCTCGCGAGCAGTTTGTCCAGCTTGACCAAGCCCCCCAGTTGCCATCACGTGCAGTACCAACTGATGAAGAATGTAAAACGTCACGAACGTTACTGTGGTTGTGACCAAGTTCACACCCTTTTGGTCTCTAAACGAAGTGTAATGACACTGCAATAGCGCATGTTAAACCACGCCGTTCGAACCTGTACATTAACGTTCAAAATTTATTTAGGAAAGTTATACTTTCATGCGGTATTAGTACTTCATGGTACTAAGCAATTTGGTAAAACTCAAATAATCGAGTGAAATTCTACCCTTTCTCGTAGAGCTTTCAATTTCATGTAGTTAAAATAACGTATTTCGCAAATTCAGAGATGTTCCTTGACAGTGTATAATTCCCGGTCTTAAAACTTCTTTTTCCTTCTTTTTCCTGACTTCGACGTCTGGTTGCATGGTTATGTCATTTCGGGCCAAGTAAGATAGAATGCAAACCTTTGCTGCAAGTGGACGCCGGATCAAACCCGTTTTCACAAGCGCATTGGCCATCATTGGTACAAAACTAAAAGCAACAAAGAAATAGAACACTTAACAATAAGATTGGACAGTGAAAAAAGCTGTCAGGGATAAATTTTCCACAATTATAGAATTTCTTTCTCTGCTAATTGGGTAAATAGGAGGAACTATTTTTCATCAAGAGGCGCACTTTTCAAGAAACTTGAAGGTGCAGATGTACCTTTTGTAGGCTCATGCAAAAAAAAAAAAGTGAAGTGTAAAAAGAAGCCGGAGAAACTTTATGGGTGAGTTAAGAGAGTGGGGAAGAGAGTAAAATCGCTAGCTACCCACAATTCCCCCGTGCCTTACGGCGTCGTTCTGCCGTCGCTTACGTTAAAAAAGTAAAGAGGCTCTGAACAGTGAACAACTATATTTGTAAACTTACTCCTCGACCGGCGCATTCTTTTCCATCAACCATTTCACATTTTTTTCTCTGGATTGACTGACATCTATTCTCCTTACAAATCTACAAAGAACGAAGAAGCATTGGTCAGATACTCGGGCAGAAAGGTTAAAAGGTGACCGGTAGAGTATTATAACTGAAATTTTGTTCACTCTTTGGTGGGATATTTATGTGGAAGGCAACTTCTTTTGAAGCCTTTGTGCAGAAGATTTTGCAAGTGAGATTACATTCTGATATCGATCCAATGATCGATGATTGTAAGGTTGTATTTTTTTGTTTTTGTCTTATTTTCTTGCTTTTCTTTGCATGACTTTTGTTATTCACACTTGCCTTGTTTGCTCCACATTTAGTTCCTTCTTTTACCATTCCCAGCCCGATAAAATCACTTTGATAATTCAGGGACGCAACGCTGTATTAAAAAAAAGATGTAATCAGACTAGAAGATTAACCAGGAAATGATTTAAAGGAGCTTTATACCATACCATCTCATGCCATACAACTCATTGAGGAACGAATACTAGATTAAGTTTAAGAGCTATAACACACAAACAAAGATATTAAAAACGTAGAACTAACTGCTAAGGATGTGAATTGAAAAAAAATCACCGCGCCTTGAAAATGAAAAGCTTCAAGGCCGTCAGTCTCAGAAAGAAAAAGCTGCAGCGTAGGGGGTTCCTTTTATATTTCTTTACGCCGCAAAGCCTCCCAATGTCCAACCCTACCTATTCGTCCTTGGGGGCGGAAAACACGTTTGGCCAGCTAACAGGGCTCTGGCGCATTCGGGATAATAGATTCGGTAACAACTAGGCGCAGATACCAACAATAAAGTCATGAAAACGGGTCGAAATGGGTTGATAGCCGAAACGGAAACTATTATAACAGTAGTTATTATAAAGTAAAAAAAGAAAAAGGTTGAAACTTTCGACGATTGATTTATCTTACTTGGGTCAAATAAGCTACTCTTAATGGCCCAGCAAGATAAGGAAACGAAAGTTGGGAACTTTTAATGTTGTAAACTTTTGATTTACCTGCATTGAGCCCCAGAAGTAAGAGGAATCCTTTTATAACCAGAGCCATAATCCACATCTGGTATTTGTCGAAAGCTGTCTGTACACTGAATTTGTCCACACATAACATCGCTAGATTGATCAAATCCAGAAATTTCTTAACGTTGTCATCGGAGGCTTGATTTACTGGTCTCTATCATTAGCCACCCAAGCCTTCCCCAACTTTTCAAAAAAAGGACTTGATTAGATGTTTTGAGCGCAATCTTCATTTGAAGAAAGTAGCAATATAGTGCGTTTGCTAAGTTGCATTTTGCCTGGCATTTGGAAACATTTTTGCAGTACTTAATGTTGTGATTTCGTTATCCTATGCTATAGGCAAAAATAAATGCAAAGAAAGCTGAAACGATAAGTTTAGATACAAAGATCACTTTTCGTAAAATAGGTTTGTTACCTCTAGAATTATTTTAAGTTTTATATGGTGGCGCTTATAGGGTGCGCATATCTATAGCTTTTATCAAAATAGCAACAGATCATCCGCTTAATTGACATTTCTTTTTTGTCGATTGAACTAACCACCCCTCAAACATTTTTACATTTAGTATTTTCCATACTGGACCTTTTCGCACAGGGGCGGGGCCTTGTGGCGTCACATGTCCCGTACTGCGTTCTCCGTGAGTTGTATTTATCCCAGCATGCCTTTTCAGCTGAGCGGGCAGCTTACAGGTGAAACAAAAAACAAGTTAGTAGAGTTGCAGAGACAGATTATTATAATAAATCTTACTCCTCAAGTTAGAAAGACTCAAGGAAAGCGGGCACACTTACTTCCGCCCCACAGATCAGAACATTGAGTATCCAGTGAGTCGGCACATTTTCCTAAATGACAGAAGGACTGAAAAGGGCATAAAAAATCTCAACTAAGATCGCAACTTGGGAGCAATGAGCAAGAAGACGTCAC